ACACACACACACACACCCACTGCCGTCCGCACACATCGTCCACACACACACACACACCCGCTGCCGTCCGTGCGCACCGTACACACACACACACACACTGCCATCCGCACACACCGTACACACACTCACACACACCCGCTGCCGTCCGTGCACACCGTACACACACACACACACACACTGCCGTCCGCGCGCACCGTACACACACACACCCCCACCCCCGCTGCCGTCCTCATGCCCGGACTCACAAAGCCGTTGCCCATGATTCTGCAGAGACCCTTGAGGGAGTCACAGTCTCGGCTGGTGAACTGGAACTGCGCCAGCTGGGAGTTGCGGAACAGAGGCCCCAGAGCGGCCTAAGGGTGACGGGGAGGGGGGAGTGGTGAGCACTTAGCCAACGGTCAGGGACGGGCAGGGGCCGTCAGGGCACAGGGGTCTCACCAACAGCTTCTGGGGGATCAGCTGCAGGATCAGCTTCTGGGGCCACTGGTCAGTCTCCCTAAGGGAAGGAGAGGGTCAGGGTGCTGTGCCGGACCCCACCACACCCCCCCGCACCAGAAAGGAGAGGGTCAGGGTGCCCCATACCACCCCTACCTGCCCCAGTACTCACAAGTTCTCACCCTGGTTGACAAAAGCCTGGCAGGGGAGTGTCCGCTTCAGCTTGGCCCCCGAGTCTGAGAAGGGTCTGCGTTTCTGTGCAGGGGAGAGAGCGAGGGGGTGCCACTGACCACCTGCGGTGACCAGCACGCCTCACCAGTCACAGCCCCAGCTCACCTCCTGCCACTCGAGGATGCCACTCCAGGCCAGCAGTTTGTTGCTTAACCGGTGTTCACCCACCACCAGGCCGCCAAGGGACAGCCCTGGAGAGCAGGGCCCGACGGGACCCAGGGCGCCAAAGACCCTCGCGCCTTTCTGCAGGAGAAAGGGGGAGTGAGGCTAAGAACCCCTCTTCTATAAGCCCCAGAACACATGTCCCAACATTCGTACCAAATCCCTGCTCAGAAATTCCCAAGGCCAAGGCCTGGTCTCTCTCCTGCCCCTTCCTGGGGGCCCACAAGTCACCCACGCACTGGTCTGTTTCTCACTGGCCCCCTTCATCCCAACCAGACCCTCGGCCTGGAACACACCTGCTCCCTTCAGGGTTTACCTCCTCAATTCATGATCCTCCTCCCTTTTTTTAAAAAAATTATTTCATTTTAAGGGAGCTCTGATGGCCTAGTGGCAAGACGGTGCACTGCAATCCCAGAGGTATGTGGTTCAAATCCACCAGATGCTCTGCTGGAGAAGGAGGGGGCAATCTCCTCCTGTACCAGTCAAATCTGATTTGATGGTACACATAAAAATAATACAATAAAAGTTAAAAAAATATTTCATTTTAATATTTTTTTGTGTGTGTACAGTTGGATCTGACTGGTAGAGGAGATTGCCCCTCCTTCTCCAGCAGAGCATCTGGTGGATTTGAACCGAGTACCTCTGGGATTGTAGTGCAGCTTCTTGCCACTAGGCCACCAGAGCGCCTATCCTTCTTATAACTCAACTCAGATGCCAGCTACCTGGGAGAGGCTCCCCTCAAAGTTGTAGTGAACTCCAGGACTCCTCCATATCTCCTCAATACAAGCCATACTGAGCTGAGTCCCAAACGTGGGTCTCTCACCCTCCCTAGGCACACATCCAGGGTCCCCATCCCCTCAGCACTCCCTCTGATTCCCACCAGCCATCCCTTCCCGGTATCTCTCCCACCCAGCCCGGTCTCAACAAAGCCCTCACTGCCACACTGGTCCTAGGGAAGCAGAGAAGGGCAGTAAAAAGCATGGAAAGGAGCCCCAGTGAGACACCAGTAAGCAGCTGGCTGCTAACTAAAACGTTGGGAGTTCAAAGCCACCCGGAAGCTCCAAAGGAGAAAAGACCTAGCGCTCTGCTTCCATAAAAGATTACACACAACTAAGGACATCCTGTGTCTCTCTGGAGACTAAGGTGCGCCTGATACAGGCCATGGTATTTGCAATCGCTTGTTATGCATCAGAGAGTTGGACAATGACTAGGGAGGACAGAAGGAGAGTGGATGCTTTTGAGCTGTGGTGCTGGAGAAGAGTACTGAATGTACCATGGACTGCCAGGAAAACAAACAGATTCATCTTGGAGAGGATTAAGCCAAGCTACTCCTTGGAGGCAAGGATTCTGGGGCTTCATCTGACATACTTTGGACATGTTGCGAGGAGGGACAGGTCCTTGGAGAGGGACATCATGCTTGGGAGGGTGGAGGGACAGCGCAGGAGGGGAAGACCCTCTATGAGATGGATTGATTCGGTGACTGGGGTAATCGGGATGGGTGTGTCGCAGTGCGGTTGGCGCAGGACAGAGCAGGGTTTAAGGCTGTTGTACACAGGGTCGCTATGAGTCGCAAACGACTCGACAGCACATAACAACAACAAGGACATCCTATAGGCCACTTCTGCTCTGCCACGTGGGGTCGCCACAAGTGAAAACTAGCTGGATGGCACACAGTGGGACTGTCAACCTCGGGGAAAAACCAGAGTAGAACCCTGCAGGAGGACTGCAAGGGAAGAACATTCCAGCCCGAAAGGCCCACTGCTCCCTCCACCTTCTCAACGCCCCCAACACCACCTCAACGCCCCCCCAACCCCAACACCTCAACACCCGCCCACCGCAACACCTTAACACAAACCAGAAAAGGCTGCAGGACAAACAGCCGGCTGAGCCACAGGCAGGGGGCGCCAGGCTGCTGTTACAAGAAACGTACTGACGGCTGTTAACTCTTATTATTGTTGCTGGTTATTTTCCACGTTTCCAAAGCACACACACCTTCTGTGCTGAGATAACACCAATCAAAAATCTTATTTTACAAGGCTCTTATTAAAAAAAAAACCAAACAAAACAAAAAACCACCACCAACAACAAAAAAAATCCTGGACAAGCAAGCTCTCCACCTACAAGACCAGGAAGAAAACCAGAGCCCGTCTCAGTGAAAGGGTGTGTTGGTGTGTTTAATGCTGAAAAAGTTTGAGGTGGAAAATCAAACAGTATATACCTCAGAGCATGACTGTCCCCTGCTTTTTCTACCAAAACACTCTGCAGTTAGCGGCCTACCCTGTTAATCACATCCCCCCAGGGACTCAATCTTGAGATAAAAGGTGGTTACACCCCAGGCTTCCAGGACCACGCCTGGGGAAGCACACCACCTGAGAAGGTAGATTTACAGCACACACCTCTGGAGATGTGCGCCCTGTGTGTGTGTGTGTGTGGTCTGGGTTTTAAGAAGGGGTGTGGGGAGAAGGAAGCTCTTATAATAAGAAAATGTGCTACCAGGCTAGGATTTGCATTTAGGGGGTGTGCACACACACGGCAGCGTGCAGTATTGTTCACTGAGTGCACGAGACAGTTTTAAGAAGTAAGCAAGGCTACAGACAAAGTGCAAAGGATCCTGGGTCTAGGGAGAGGTCTGACATGTAGGCTATGGAAGGTAACACATGTGTAAAGCCCCAGGATGCCTGTCTCTGGCCCAGGCCCACCTGTACAGCAGGAAACACTCAGCAGGGCAGGAGGACTTAGCACTATAGAGGCAAGCCTCACATCTTGGCAAACAAAACAGAACTGTGTGTCCAGTTATCGCCCCTAGGTGCACCCATCAAGAAAGAAAAGGAACTGCACTACTCAGATCCACAAGAGACCTCTTTAAAACTGTTTAAGAAAAACCAAAAGAAATCAGCTAGTTGCTTTAAAAACGAAGGTGTATGTGACCCATCCTACCGAGTGGTCAACTGTCTCACGTGAAGCTGCCTGGCTACAGAAACTCCTCAATGCCTTCGAATTGTAAAGCTGACGGAAAACACTGCCACGGCCACGAACTGTCATGACAACAAACAAGTTCTAGGAAATAGTACAACCAGGATGCCCTTTAAAAGCAAGAACTCTTCCAGACTTGGCACTGGTACAGACCAACCAGTCCCTAAAGAAGACCATCGCGCTTGGTGAACAGTGAGAAAGAGGGGACCGGTCGGACTGTCAGTGACAGGGGCTGACAGCACTTCCAATGAGTTCCAACACAGTGACAGCTGCGATTCACAAGACCAGACACCGCTCAGTTCTATCATACACGGGGTCTGGGGTCCTATGCATCCGAACCAACCCGCCGGCACTGAGCAAACACAAATTCAGTGCGCAAAGAAGTGCACTTAGTGCGGGCCCGTGGATGGAAAGGTCGAGGCTGCAAGAGGAAGAACCCAAGGAGTGCATGTGACCAACCCGCCGTCAGTGACTAAAAACTGAGTGAAAGAAATGGAGCCTAAGGGTGTGATTACTTCCCGGAGGCTGCGCGAGATTGCAGAAAGTCTGTTACAAAGTTTTAGGACAGTGACTACAGCTGAGTCCTGTCCAACACAGCTGAAGAGTATGCGGAGAGCTGTTCGCACACAAGGAGGGAAACCCCTGATCACCAGGGTGAACACGGTCCTGCACTCTGTCTCAGAGAAGGAAACCCTTTTACCATACGTCCTGAAATACCTGATGAACTAGACATTTGCATTTAAAGTTTGGCCTCATTGCAAACCTCAGAGCATCACTCAGTTGGCCCTCTGGCCAAAGGGGCAAATCCAGGCCCCCAGACGCCTCTGCCTCCTCGACCCCTCCTCCATTTCCAGAGTTATAGGCCGGGAGAGAGACCAACTTCCCAAGTGGAAAAACAAGCCAGAGCAGCCTCTTAGCTGCACCACCACCCCCCGCGGCCCCAGTGCTCAAATCGGGCCTTGGAGTCAGCAGTAATTTGAGCCCTTCCCACCCCGTACCCAACCCCCTTGCCAGCACCAGGGCAAAACAAAGGGGAAAGCTGGCATGTACCACCGCGGGGAATACACCAAGTGGGTGTCAGCACGGACGAGAGGTTTACGCTCCGAGCAGTGGGCAAAGGTGCCAGCGGGGACAGGGCCACAGAAAGCACTGGAAAAACGGTGGGGGGTCTCACCATAGGAGGGGCTGAACGAGTCCGGATCCGCGGCGGCTGCAGACCCCGGGGTCTGGCCGGCCAAGAGCGCGAGCGAGGGGCATGGGCCACGAGGGGCCTCAGAGGACGGCCACGACCCCCTAGAGGGCCCCCAACGCCAGATCGGTGTGGGGCGCGGCGTGGATGGACCATGGCGGGCGCAGAGTGAGTTGACAGGGGGCTGCTGCAGGCAGCACGGGGGCTGCAAGCTTCACTGAATGAGGGGGCGAGAAGTCAGTGTGAGGACGGGGCTCCGGAAGAGGGTCAACGAGCGGACCTGCGCTGAGCGGGGGAGCCCAGCTCATATCGAGAAAGCCCGGGAGGGGGCGTGGCCGGGCCGTACCAATGCGGGCGGGGGGAACTCCCACGGAGGGGGAGCGTGGGTTCGCGAGGAAGCCCCTCAGGGGGCGTGGCCGGGCCGTACCAATGAGGGGGGGAACTCCCACGGAGCGGGGAGCGGAGGTCCGTGAAGAAGTACATCAGGGGGCGTGGCCGGGCCGCACCAATGCGGGGGGGGGAACTCCCACGGAGCGGGGAGCGGAGGTCCGTGAAGAAGTACATCAGGGGGCGTGGCCGGGCCGCACCAACTCAAGTCGGGGGCTCTCCACGCAGTAGGGAGTGGGTCCGCAAAGAAGCACCTCAGGGGGCGTGGCCGGACCGCACCAATGCAGGTGGGGGAAAACTCCCACGGAGCGTGAGCGTGGGTCCGCAAGGAAACACATCAGGAGGCGGGGCCAGGCCGGACCAACGCGGGAGGGTGGAGCCCCCACGGAGCCAAAAAGAGGAAGCACCTCCGGGGGCGGGGGTCCGCGAGATAAAGCCATACTAACACGGGCGGGGGGGGGGGGACACCCACGGAGCGACAGCAGGACGCACCTCAGGGGGCGTGGCCGGCCATACCAACGTGGGAGGGGGCTCCCACGGAGCAGATCCGAGGGGTCCTTGAAGAAGCAGGGCCCGGGCAAACGGGGTTGGAGGGAGGGTGAAAATAGCGGGGAGCTGCGGATTCCTGGTGCAGAGGGACCCCAGGGCCTAAGCCAGTCGACCTCGGGGAAGGGTCAGGGTCAGAACCAGGGGCCTGGGTCCCCCAGGAATTCCCCGGGCCCTGCATGATCCACACGGGGGTGGGGGTGTCGGTCACAGGAGTGGGCGGGAACTGCCCAGACAGAGACCTTCTCCCTGGACCTATGGAGTCCTGGGGCCAGCCACGCCTCCTGATCTAGGGGCACCCTGTCTGTTGGGTGATGGGATGCAGGCCAGTCAGTGGCCCCAGTGGGCCATTTTTCCTTGCTAAGCTTGTGTGTCCTGAGGGGACAGGGAGGCTCAAGGCCAGATTAAGGTTTAGGAAGCATTTTCTGTCGCCTCCCTTTACTGCAGCCACCAAGTCAGGCCGCAGCTGGGGGCGAGCTGAGCTGAGCGGCCTAGACGTGCCCTCTGAGGCTGGCCAGTGGCCCCTTTCCCCGCGGGGCTGGTGGTGCAGGGGTGAGCGCTCCCAGGAGGGTTGGCACCTGAACCCTCAGCCCCTCCCCCAGGTCGACAGGCAGTGTCTCCATGGCGACCACAGCCTTCCAGCCAGGGCCAAAGGAGCACCTGGGGTGGGGAGTGGGCTGAGAGAGGACATGGTCACTCCCTGCTTCCTCACAGCTCAACGGTTTGCCCCTCATACTTATGTAACGCTGGGGTGACCTTGGAAGTCCGAAGTCCTAGGGCGCTGGTGCCTTCATTCTCCAGGGGGGGGCACAGGGAACCGAAGCCATCTTTTTTTTTTTAAATCCATAAATTCTCTTTTTCTGTCAAAACGAGAGGAGAGAAAGGAAAGGTCGACAGACTCCAGCCTTGGAAAACTTTGTATCCGATCTATGCTGTCCTAAAATGTCCCTGTGAGTCAGAATCGATTTGACAGCAGTTGGGAATGTCATCAAATTCATTTAGTTACCAAAATGTCCAAGTGATATTTGGGCAGCCAGCAGCCAAGACAACGGGTTTCCCAGCCCTCACTGCGATTCACACCCTCAACTGGGCCTTGAAGGTTACCAAGGAGCTGACTAGTGGATGAAAAGGCATGAAGTGTTTCCTAAGCCTTGCTCTCACCTGAGCAGGGTGGACATACCTGCCAAAGAGGATGTGGCCGAAGGGTCATTCTGGACACTTTAAAGTTCTGTAGCTTCCTCCTTGCATTCTCTGGAGAGGCCTTGTGGCTGACAGCAAAGACTTGAGGTCACCATGGCTGTGACCTCATGAGCGTGAACCAGACCCCGTTGGCGTGTCTACTCCTACATCCCTCACTCGTAATTAAAAGCAGCATGCTGTCTGAAGACACCCAATTTGGGCATAACAAATCTCTTAGTTGGGGCTCATTCAAGTAGAACTACCCCATAGGTGTTCATGGCATGAAAGACAGCATTTTGAGCACCAAGATATGTCTAAGAGAGACCTTCACTTCATATGCATGTGAAAGTTGAAAATTGCTAAGAATGAAGAATTAAGGGGAGCTCTGGTGGCCTAGTGGCAAGGAGCTGCAACTACAATCCCAGAGGCGCACGGTTCGAATCCACCAGATGCTCTGCCGGGGAAGGAGGGGCAATCTCCTCCTGTACCAATCAGATCTGATTTGACGGTACACGCCCACAAAAATAATAAAAATAAAATTTAAAAAAAAAAAGAAGAATTATTGATGCCAGTGGCAAGAAGCTGCACTGCAATCCCAAAGGTGAGTGGTTCGAATCCACCAGATGCTGTGCTGGAGGCGGGACAATCTCCTCCTGTACCAATCAGATCCGATTTGACAGTACACACACAAAAATAATAATTTTTTAATTTATTTTTTTAAAAAAAAAGAATCACTGATGCCTTTAAAACTGACAAATAAAGGGAGCTTGAGTGGCCTAGTGGCAAGAAGCTGCACTGCAATCACAGAAGTACGCGGTTCATATCCAACATATGCTCTGCTGGAGGAGGGATAATCTCCTCCTGTACCAGTCAGATCCGATTTGAGGGTACACACGGAAATAATAAAATTTAAAAAAATAATTATTTATAAGTATTTATAATGGACAAATATGGGGAGCTCTGGTGGCCTAGTGGCAAGAAGCTGCACTGCAATCCCAGAGGTACACAGTTCAAATCCACCAGATGCTCTGCCGGAGAAGGAGGCGCAATATCCTCCTGTACCAGTCAGATCTGATTTGCCGGTACACGCACACAAAATAATAAAAAAATTTTAAAAATGGACAAATACTGAATACCATGAATTGCAAAATGAGAGCTCTGACAGCGTAGTGAAAACGAGGTGCACTGCCAACCCCAAAACCAGAAGGTTCAAATCCTCCAGTGCTCCAAGGGAGAAGGTAGGCAAGCAGTTTCCTCTGATGCCACTTAACAGGCTCTGAAAACCACTGGAGGGTCAGCCGTGAGTCGGTTCCGGTGTGAGAGCACTGAACCACAACAGCAAAATCCAACTTGAAAGAGGTACAGGCAATGCTCCTTAGTCCCTTTTGCATCTCAGAGCAGACGCGTGGTGCTTGGCAAGAACAAACGCCTTACAAACGGTGGCAAAAAAAGGAGCCCAAGAGGAAAGCAGTTGATTTGATTTTCTAAAAGAAGACTGCTAGGGGAGCTCTGGTGGCCTAGTGGCAAGGAGCTGCAACTACAATCCCAGAGGCACACGGTTCAAATCCACCAGATGCTCTGCCGGGGAAGGAGGGACAATCTAATCTCCTCCTGTACGGTACACTCACACAAAAATAATAAAATAAAAATTAAAAAAAAAATAAAGACGACTGCTATGATGAAAAGGCACCAGCTCTGTTCAACAAGAACCACAGGAAGGCACTAGTCACAAGGGCTCAAGAAACCAAGATGCATCTGATGGATTCAATGTTTCTGAAGTGATCCTTGGGGATCTGCAAAACGATGAGGCTGCCTTTAGAAAAATTCAAGTGAATTACGGAGGAGAACTAACTCACAGGGCACGGATCCTACTTGTGACAAAATGTGCTCCACGGTAAAAAAAATTGTGCTAACGTGTGTGTGTGTGTGTGTGTGTGTGTGTGTGTGTGTGTGTGTGTTGTGACTGAGGGAAGAAAAATCTAAAAAATAAAAATGGCAGACCATGATTAAAGTTCATGTTGATGTCAAGGCTACTTGCTTTGTCTGTTTTGTGTTGGTTTCAAAAAAAAACAAACAACACAAACCCAAAACACGCCCACATGCACAGAGAAACCCAGAACAATGAGATTGGAAGACCTCTTTTCCCCCCAATTTTTAAAAATTATTATTTGTGGCGAGCTCTGGTGGCCTAGTGGCAAGAAGCTGCACTGCAATCCCACAGGTGCGCAGTTCAAATCCACCAAATGCTTTGCTGGAGAAGGAGGAAAAATCTCTTCCTGTACCAGTCAAATCTGATTTGATGGTACACACACACACAAATAATAAAAATGAAAAAAAATTATTATTTGTGTGTGTACCATCAAATCTGGTACAGGAAGAGAGCATAGAGCACCTGGTGGATTTGAACCATGTAACTCTGGGATTGCAGTGCAGCTTCTTGCCACTAAGCCACCAGATCTCCCTGAGACTGGAAGATCTCTAAAGCTGCTGAGTCACTTCCAGTGCAGCGAGCCTAGCCGGCTGGACCGCGAACTACCCGTAGACTTGATGCTGTACTGGAGCTCACTGTCATATCCGTTATGTCAGTCCATCCTGCCGCAGTCTTCCTCTTTTTTCCCCACCCTTTGTTCTGGCACCAACCGGTCTGCCAAATCAGGCATGATCCAAGACAAATGACTTTAAAGCCAACGGGTCAGTAAATTGACTCCAGAAAGGAGTAGGAAAGACAAAGAAAAGGCCTGTCAGTCTATGCATCCTCTCCGCGACGTTTTTGTTAGAAAAGTAAAATTGCCCAGGTTTGAATCAAGGTCATGGGGCTTCATGGCAAGGCGGGCAGCCCTGGAAAAGCTCAAGTTGCTGACGGCTGTGAGCCACCACTTCAGGAATCTGTTTAAAATTCAGACTTTTAATAATGACAAATAAAAGTTATTATTTGTAAAAGGGAAAAAAACCAAAACAGCCCAACCCCAAAATGTTCCTTAGGAGCAAGGATGGGCAACCTGTGCCTCACATACTTGGGCACCTGTTGTCAGAAGAGAACAGTC